TTACCGAAACTCGTCGATATCACCCTACACACCTCGGCTGCCCCGTATGGTTGAACTGCTGAAGCATCGACTCTTGAGCACTTTTCTTAGGAACGGACTGAACGCTAACCCTTATTGACGATTCAATTACAAAAGTGATCGGATTAACCACACGGTCCTTGTCTCATCCTATCGAGACATAAACTATTCATTTACATTTGTTTGCTTATGACTAAACTATACTCTTACTATAATGTTTAATATTATTACTTCTGCCCCGGCGGAACAGCGAACAAGGCTCGTTGCTCAGCGCTATCAGGTCCTGTACTTTTCGAACGCAAGCAAATGGTGAATCTGAAAATCATCCTCAGTACTGTCTAGCTTGTCGATACTTCAAGTAGTCCTCCGTTTTCGACACTTTCGCTGCACAATTTGGTCGATCGGTCTTTCTTGCACACATTTTATATTCTTTACTTCACTGTTGGCCGCGACTGAATCAATCTCCTGAGGTGATAGATTCCAACTTCCAGTGCTAATAATTATACCCATGCAAGATACATTGCCATTGGTTCCCCGGCGATAAAAAAGTGCTTTACTCAAAAAAGCCAATTGATGGTACGTGCTAGGTGGCTTGACTGTTCACACTATATGCACAGAAATACAGTCCTATGGATGAGTTACGTAAGTGATGGCTTACGTACTTTACAAGCCACACCGGCACGCTGCCAGATGGGGCATAGAAGTGCGGGTGAAATCCATTGAGAAAATAACCCGCATAAAGCAGGTCCCCAGAAGACGATTCTATTAATGGCCGTATTACTTATACGTTTTATTTAGCTACGCTTATTATTTTTTAGAACCTCATTCGACCAATTAGCCATGTCCTGCAAAAAGGTTAATGACTGCTTTGTAAAATACGAAAAATATAACATCTTGCGTTTCTGTCGTACACCAAAAACAGTAACATCAAATTGAACTGTACTCCGCACCGACGAGGGATAAAACGTTTTTATTCACCACAACTTCATATTGCCCATGCAAGAGCATAATACTACCTATACATATTTGCTCTGTGCCAAATATGGACACACCTCATTTAAAGAGAAACGTACACACTATTATTATTGTAGTTCTTGCGATCAGTTTCCGCCATCGCAATGAGGCTGGACCTTATCTTGGTGCGATGGTTTGTGTGCCTCAGCGATCCACTGAGCTGTACTGGGTGGTGCTTTTTTTGCACCTTCAGAGCCACTCATACAAGATTGGTCAATGTTTAGAGGCCAGACAAACTCAGCCTCCTGGTCCTCCAGGTTGGGGGTTGGAATGTGGTGGCTCCTTAAAACGGACTCTTTGTAGCCCAACGCCAAACCCACTGCCTTGCGGTCAGGTTTTTGAATCAAAGGATTTGGTTGAGAACCCTAATCGTTCTCCTGTCTAGGCTTGGGCATTCTGACAGTATCCTGCCCACGCAGTACAATGAATTTGTCTTCAAACCGTTTCTTGATACTCTGGCCACCGCAGAGGATAATCAACGGTGCCCTATCTGCTGCATCAAGCAGGGTGGATAGGGGTGTGGATGCTACAGCTCAAGACTTTCCATCTTCTTATTCCCCCTCTTACGCTTTTTCTGTCTTACCGCACCATCCCAGCTTCACTTTTATCCCCCTGTTTTCAACCTCCCAATTTTTGGCCCTCCCCCACCCTGCTTTGATACACTTTTACCTTTTAGTTTCAACTCACATGTGAGCGCGGAGCGTCATTCCTGTCCCTGTCGACAAGCCCATGTCTAAACAAGCGGCCAAGCCCAGTTCATCGACTTCCATTCGGAGCCCTCGATCATCCTTCAAATTGGCATGCCTCAGTGTACGCACATTGCTCCAGATCGGTCAACAGGCAGCACTTGCCCGGCACGTGCTGCTACTTGCCCGTGTGTCGTCTGTTGTGAGTTTCTTTGTTCCTCCCCATCGCTCCTAGCCTCCCCCTCCAACCGCGATCTCATTTCTTAGCGTAACAAATTTTGCATAATAATTTTGCTGCATAGTAACTGGCTGGTAGCTTTCCGGAACGATGCCTATCCGTTACTGGTAGCTCAGCTGGCGTGCACCTGTTGTGTTTTCTTTTCTTATGTATTGCCGCACAGTAGCTAAGGTGTTTTCTAATTTTAGCCACATGTATAATGATGATAATGAGTAACTGCAGAGTTTACATTGCAGCCGTCAATTCAACCCTCCTGTACGGTTGCGAAACCTGGTCCATCAGGTCGACAGACAAAAAATTCTTACCCTCGATCATTGCTGTCTTCTCAACTTAGCTCACACATGGTGGAAACACCGCGTGTGCCCTGAGCGTGTTCGGTGTCGAGTATTTGGTGCGGGAAGAGCGGGTGAACCACTCAGCACCGGTATATCACGCACCAGCATTTGCTGGCTGGACAACGTATTGCGCATACTAGCACACCAACTCCGGTGTTGTGCATTATTTGCGCGCTCGGGTGCTTATGGAAGACCAGGGGAGGCCAAGCGATGACTTGGTCAAGAGGCTTGAAGACCTTCGTTCGAACTTGGTATCGGTTGGTGCCTCCCCACTGCCGAGCTGGGGTTCCGAGGACGATGAACACTTCTGCTTGGATGCACCTGTTGACATGTCGAAGAGCCGGTCCCAGTGGCATTTGTGTTGTGTTTTTTTGTCTGCCCTCCCTCCCCTTTAGGTTTTCTGTCCAATTACGATCTCGTACCAAATGCTTAATGTGATGTTTAACATTATATTACTTGCTTTTTAAAGTTTCTTCGTGGTCTGTAATTTTTAATCGCTTACTTTTTCTATTACAACACATTAGCCGAGGTGTTTCTCGCCCACAGCTGACATCTATGGATGATGATGATGGGTCCATCGCTGACAAGCTTTAGAGAAACGCCGTGTGGCACCTCAGCGCTTATTGTGTCTAAAAGCGTTGCTACTATCCAACAGCTGGTGCTCCGCGCACAGGCGCAACATGTTCTCGCCGTTGCCCTTACGATCCCAGTTAACTTCATACATACCACAACCGAGATTCTGAAGAGTCCAAACCACCTACCTGCATATTCACGTCCCCTTCAGCAACAGCGATATCTGAACTGGTAAAACTGCAAGACAGCGTGTTCAGTTCGTAGAAAAATCTGTCTTTAACATTATCAGGACTGCAGTCGATAGGAGCATAAGCAGAAACCACAGACCAAAAGCGTTTCACACAACTTTTTGAATCAACCTTGGTTAAAGTCGTCAAACGGGCTACACAAAACGGCTACCCATAGGAACAACTAACCAGCGGTAACTCATTCTTGAAGCTGGAATGATGCCTACTCCAGCTTCACCAATGCTGGCCACATCAAAGTCTCCGGATGCGTGCAACCAATGGCGAGAGGACAAGTCGGGCGTAGTTAGGTGAACAACATCATGAAGATCATTGATCCTAGTTTCGGGCACACAACACATCACTACCTAGGGTATCCAACGTGCATGCGAGTGCAGCCTGTTGACTCATTTGTCTTAGAGTGCGAACATTAAACAACGCCAGCAAAACGGGACAGAATGGCCCTATAAGGATTTGCTGCCGATAGGCGTCCAGTTGATGGTGCGGGAAGGTAGCTGCAGATGGTTTGACTGGTGTCATTACGCATGCTGTCATTTAAACGGAATTATGGAAGGGGGATTAGTAATGGTGATCCGGAGAGGAGTAAGAAAAGCAAGTGGAAAAGCAAGAAGCGAGGCGGCAGCAGTAGTATGTTTCCGCTTATCTGCTCTTCTGCATGCAGCAGATAAGGCGACCCTTGATAAGCTTGTTGATGGCTGATACAGGTTGTGCTTGGAGTTTCAGGAACTAGTCATGATTGTACGCGGGTTGAGATACTGCCAGGGCGCCCAGACCTAGACGGGAAGACAATTAGGGTCCTCAACCAATGCCTTTGGCTTAAGAGCCTGTCCGCAACGCAGCTATCTTATTTCCAAGCCCCCAACTTGGAGGACCCGGAGGCTGAGTTTGTCTGACCTCTAACCATTGACCGATCTGGTAGGTGTAGGTTTCAAGGGACCCGGGGGCACCACCTAGTATAGCTCAATGGATCAAAGAGGTACGCAAACCGTCACACCACTCTAAGGTCTGGTTTCGTTACGACGGATTGTTGCCATTATATACATAGACGAAGTAGTGTCCCGTTCTCTGCGTCAGAGCAAACAGCCCCTTCTAGTTGTCATTGGCGGAAGTGAGGTCGCCATTCTTACTCAACAGATTTATCTAGGTGTCGTTCATATTCCACTCCTTCACTGTGGCGATATTTGGAAGAATATTGGGTGTAGATAGTTCTGTATGATATGTTTTATTCTCCGTTTCCGAGGCTTAATGGTCGCCATGTTTATGAACTTATTCTCGTTCCTCGTGCGACTACACTTGGAATACTGTGTCTCGGCCTGTCCACCATGTCTTGTCCAACATCTAATGGAATCGGATAGGATTCTGCGGGCAATAGGTCAGTTCATGGTTTGGCAGCACCGATGTATCCCTAACCTTAGAATATTTCATCTTAAGACTCGAAGGGGCCTGACCATCACCTATTACTTTTTGACGGAAAATATCCGCACCAACTTGTGTTTGCTATATAGTCTCGCTAAGTTGCTTGGTTTCCGCAGTCAATCAGTGGAGCTGCAGAAACTGTTCTGACCGGGTTAATACGTGAACTGGTCTATCACTCCTGGTTAGAGATCGTTTCCCGAGAGCGTAGTCAGGAAACCAACGGTTGAGGTTATGGCGCTTCAGCTAGATGCTCTTGGGTAGCAATACCCCGCACCTCTTCGACTTCCATTTGCCTTATTTTTTCGACTCCTCTCATGCCCTGATAGTTTCGCTATTCAATGAGCGTCCCTTCTAGTGCGTTCGGAGTTCACTATTCCCCCTTTATTATTTCATTAACCGGCCCAGCAGTCACTACTAATACGGGGCACTTGAGTAGTAGTTGGTTATCTAAGGTATGATGCGGTTTTTGTTTTAGGTTCATCAAGAGTTCAACTCACCCTATCAACTTCTGATTCATTGCTACGTTGAAGAAGGAATACGCGGGATTATCCTTTCGTTGGGATCAAAATTGAACGGTCAGCATCCCTGTTGTTACAGGTGAACGCCCAACCATCATTGCGGAGCACTACCGGTCACCTGAAGAAATACGAAAACAAATAACGTAAGGTCTAAATGTGACCTTTTCAGCGCCACCGATCCTAATGATGCATATCCTTTTCAATAAAATTGCATATGCACACAACGCCATTTCTCGATGGGCTTCACGTGAATGACCGATTTTCGTACCGCTGGCCGACCCAATGCAACAAATTTTGATTACTTACAAACGTTTCGAACGTAGCGTTGCCTAAGCACTGCTGACTTACGATGCTTTGAGAATCGATATTTGCAATCGGGAGCAATGCGCTCACTACCTGAGTACGGGATGTTTTTTTTTCTAACCGGCATCCGCTCGAAATTTGTTACACCTAGGATGTGAGGTACTCAAATCTGTCGTCCATACGACAGTCCATCAGTAACTCCTGCTTTCACCTATCGGTCACTCGAGCTGAGTGGGGATATACACATATGTCACAGCGATCCCAAACGGTTGGCTTCACGTAATTTCTTATAACTTCGGCGCAGCTCCATACGAGCATTTACAGCAAGCCATCTTGGTTTTCACCTTCTATTGCTATCTTTGTCGAACCGTGCTGCGCGAAGTGCGCTTCTCGATTGGACTGCTCCAGTTTAGCTCACATATCGCCTTCACTCAGGTTGCATACTCTCAAGTGAAGTAAAACCACCCTCTGGCAAATATCTGCTTCCGGTTCAGCTACTCACTCATCATCATCATTACACGTTAGTTGACAGTGAGAAATACGCTTCATCTATTGTGCCGCAACACAGAGGATATATATGAAAAAACAATATGTACAGCACTTCAGAATACAATATAAAAATTAATATGGTGCTTAGTATCGTATTATGCGTCGGGTGTGAGATCGTGGTTGTCGGGGTAAGCTAATCGGGAGGTGGAGGGAAAAAGAAACTCACAACACAAGAGCCATTGGGACCGGCTTTTCGCCATGTCAACAAGTATATCCAACCAGATATGTTCATCGTCTTCGGAACCACAACTTGGCAGTCGGGAGGCACCAACCGATACCACGTTCGAAGGAAGGTCTTCATACCTCCTGATCAGGTTATCGTTTGGCTTCCTCTCCTCTTCTTCCATCTGCACGCGCTCGTGAAAATGATGCACGACGTGGGAGTCGGTGTGCTGGCATGCGCAACACGTTGTCCAACCATAAGATTCTGGTGCGTGATCTACCAGTGCTGAGCGGTTCATCCGCTCTTCCTGTTTCAAATACGCGACGCCGAACACACGCATTGCTCACGCGGTGTTTTCACTTTGTGTGGGCTAAGCTGCGAAGGCAAAAATGATCGAGGGTAACAATTTTTTTGTCTGTCGACCTGATGGGCAAGTTTTACAGCCGTACAGGATGATTGGATGAAGGACTGCATTGTAAACTCTGCCTTTCAGAGCGAGAGTGATGTTTTGCTAGCACCACGGGTGGCGGACATTATCAAAGGCGCCTCGCGCTTTTGCCATACGATTCCTGACCTCATATTCGGTCCCACGCGAGCCAGTATGGCTGTCCAGGTACTTGAATTTCTGAAAGACTTCTAACTTATCACCATCAAGGGTCAGTGCAAGAATAAGTCCCTACAAATATTGGGGCAAGACTTTGCATTTCGAGAAGTAAAGCGAAGCCCAAAACGATTGAAAATTAGTGCTAATCTCTCCAGTTCTACTGGGCACATTTGGGAGGTGTCACAGATTAGGGCAATGCCGTCAGCTTATCCATGGCAAGAAGTGGGCCATCTGGGAGCAGCTCCACATGTTGTAGGACGTGTTTAGCGAACATCGTCGTCAATGGCGAAGTTAAGTAGGGAAGGTGACAACGGGCAACCTTGCTTTACACCGCTGGAATTGTTGAAGGGTATCGGCAACTAGTCATGAGCCCTTATACTGCCCGAACTACGCACGTACAGGACTGATAATGTGTATGTATTTAACTGGCAAATCTTTCCTAAGCAGGCAGTCTCAAAGGGAACATCAATTCACTGCATCCCAATTGATGTCGTGAAACACGTCTACGGTGGGTCACCAATAAAAATCGCGGTGCTCCATGAACTAATGCAAAGTCAAGATGTGGTCGATGCAGCACCGATTTCAACCAAACCCGGCTTCCCCCTCACAAACACGCTAATTGCTCACGCGGTGTTCCTACTATGTGTGAGCTAAGGCGCAAAGGCAGCTATAATCAAACGTAACACTTTCTTTATATCTGTCTACCCGATGGGCTAGGTTTCGCAACCGTACCGGAGGGTTAAACGGACGGCCGCATTGTAAACTCTGCCCTTCAGGGCTGGAGTGATGTCACTCCGGCGCCGTATGTGGCCATCTTGACAGAAAGTACCTCAGTCTTTTGCTATAATGTTTGTAGCCTCATCTTTTCCACAGGCGCTAACGTAATTGCCCAGATATTTGAATTTCTGAACGCCTAGCTGATCACCACCAATGGTCAGTGCAGGGGTAACTCCGTGCCAATCTTGGAGGATTTTCCATTTTCGGGGCGCAAAGCACAGTCCGAAACGATTGACAGCCATTGTTAATCTTACTTTATACGTTCCAGCAACTCACAAGCTATGTTGCTTAAGACTAAAATCCTCCTAGTCATGAGCAACATTGCTAATTTGTCCAGTTCTCCTTGGCCTATTTAGAAGCGGTCACAGGTAAGGACAATAGCATCGGCGTACTGCAAGCCACGATGTCAATCACCTGGGGGCAGCTCCACACGTTGTAGGTCGTACCTAATAAACTCCGTTTCTATGACTTCATCAATGGCAAAGTTATAAAGTTTGACATAGGGCAACCTTGATGCACACCGCTGGAGACATTGATGGATAGCGGCAGCTTGCCATGAGCCGTGCTACTACCCGCACATACAGTGCTCTTATGACATTTACATATTTCCCGGTCATACCTTTCCCTAACAGAGTCCCGATGTGCACATCGATCTGACGAATAGAGGAACAGGTCTACGGTGAGTCGCCATTAAATATGGCAGTGTTCCAACGATTGACCTAACGTGATATGGTCAATGCAGCCACAATTTGGAGGAAAGCCGGCTTACTCCTCGCGCATCTGGCTTTCAAGTGTGCCAATCAGTGTATGCAGAACGACAGAGCTCAATAAATTAGAGGCAATGAAGCTCAGGCTGATACCTCTATGATTTCTCAATTCCAAATGTAAACCTCCTTTGCAGATCGGTACAATAACGTCGCAACGACACTGGACCTTAATGCGGTGCGACGGTTTGCATACATCATTGACCCATTTAGCTATACAGGGTGATGCCTCCGGGCACCTTGAGAGCTACTCCTACCAGATTGGTCAGTAGTGAGAGGTCAGACAAACTCAGTCTCCTGGTTCTCCAGGTTGGGGCTTTGAAATGGGATGGTGTCCATCTCTGTAAAACTAAATCATTGCCACCTCACCGCTACCTTGCGGACAGGCTTTTAAACCAAAGGCTTTGGATGAAGACCCTAATCGTCCTCCTGTCTAGGTCTGGGCACCCTGGCAGTATCTCAGCCCACATACAACCATGACATTTTCTTCAAACATAAACTTCATCCTGCATCGGCCGTCGCGCAGATTAGCAAGGGTCGCCTTAACTGATGCACACAGCAGGGCGTATAAGCGAAAACATGCTACTGCTGGCACATCCCTTCTTTCTTTTTCACCTGCTTCTCTTACTCCCACCCCGACCCTCATTATTCACATTCCTTTTATAATTCCCAGCTTAATTGACAGCAACCGAAGTGCCACTGGAGTAGAACCATCTGCAGCCACTATCTCACAGCACCTATCGGACGCCTATCGGAAAAAGTCCCTTATAAGGCCACGCTATCCCGTATACATGGCGACATTCAACGTTCGCACTCTAAGACAAACAGGTCAACAGGCTGCACTCGCACGCACCTTGGACACACTGGGTATTGATGTGTGTTGTGTGTCCGAAACTAGGATCAATGACCCTAACGGGGTTATTGAATTAGCCGCACCCGGCTTATCCTCTAGTTATTGGTTGCACGTATCCGGAGACGCCGATGCAGCACTCACGGGTCAAGCTGGTGTAGGCATCATTCTAAGCTCAAAAGCTGAACCATCGTTGGTTGATTGGATTCCGATGAACAGCCGTTTATGTGCAGCCCGTTTGGCGACATAACATAAGGTAGATTCAGAAAGTAATACAAAACGCTGTTGGGTCTTGATTAGCGCTTATGTTTCCACCGACTGCAGTTCTAGTGCTATCAAGGACACATTCTATCACGAACTGAACGCCCTACTACTCAGTGCTACTAATTCGGCTATTCTAGTACTTGCAGGGGATATGAACGCACAAGTAGGTTGTCTGAGCTCTTCAGAAGCTCAGCTGGGTGGTAATTATGGGCTTAACTCCGAACGCACTGACAACAGTGAGCGTCTGCTGCAACTGTGTGCGGAGCACCAGTTGTTTCTTAGTAGAACTGCTTTTAGACACAGTGGACGCCGAAGTGCCACTTGGCGTCCTCCTGTAGCTGGCCAGCGATGGACCCAAATTGACCACAGCCATAATTTAGAAATGGTGTGGTTCCATCCTGGATTGCCGCTCGTACTGGGGTACCTGCGTCGACTCTGATCCTGCTTTGGTACGCTGTCGTTTCTCCATGAAATTTACCGTGAGGCGCACCAAACGTCCCCTCCAATTGGTAACGGAGAAATTGTCTCAGCCCTCGGTCAGTCAAGCCTATCAAGACGCACTACGTACCGAAGTTTCGCTGTCTTGTCCTAATGATATTGAGCTTCAGTGGAATAGGATCTCGGCCGCCTTGCGCGACAAAGGAGCATCTGCTTGTGGTACCATCTATCGTCACCGCACCAGTCACTGGAGATCCGAGAGGTCAGTAAACCTTTTGGAATCTAGAAGACACCTCCTGGCTGGTTCCGAACACAATGTGACCAGACGGGCTATTAGGCGTGAACCAAAGCGGAGACTACATGTTGACAAGGAAGCCTGGTGGACCAGTCGGGCTCAAGAAATGGAGGAGGCAGGTGCAGTAGGCAATTAC